ATTCCAGGGAGCATCCGCACGCCAGGGACTGAGCTTCCTCCCGCGTCTGGAGCCTCCACGTGGACGGCTGAGCTCCGCACACGCGCCACCCCGACGCCGTCCTCCCGGAACAGCAGGGTAGGCGGAGGTCATGGTCCGAAGCGGGCGGTGTCAGGACTCGGGACTCCTGTGCTGTGTGAGACAAGGAGACAAGTGACAATCTTCACGTCCTAACCTCCACTATTCTGGAGAGTGTAGTGGTGATTGTGTGCAAAGATTTGGAATTTTAAAAGTACCAAGGTCCTGAAATTCAATAAAATATTTTTATCAATTTTAACTGCATCGAGTATCATTGTCGCTGTGGTGAGCTCACGCTGGCACCGCCTTTCTGCTCTTAGACGTGGTGCTCCTTTCTGAGCATCGAGGCCTAGCGTGCTGGTGCGAGTATTCGAAGGCGCTGCTGTGGTGACGGCCGTGCAGGCTCGGAGGCTCGGCCACGAGAAGGGGCCCGAGCGCTTGCACGTGGAAAAGGCCCTGGGCCTCAGGCAGGGATGACAGCGTCTGCTGGCTTCTGTCCACCACGTTGGAGTTTTAAAGCTGCTGCTACCATTTCTTCTGCAGATTTGCCCCTCGGCCTGAGAAAGCTCATTGCAACAACTCGAGATCGTCCTCCGTGAGAGAAGGACCTTCTCTAAGGGGGCACGTGGCTGGTGAAGTTGCCACACTGTTAACACGTTGATCGTCCAGTGGCCAGGACCACTGGTGTCCTGGAGGGGCCCCGGATGTGGTGACACGGGCCCCCAGGAGCCGAGTGCAGCTGACTGTGTGCCAGGGGCGCTCCCAGGGAGAGCCCCCGCCCTGGCTAGGGGACAGTCCATGTGCGTGAAAGAAGCCCCCACGGCTGAGAGACGCTCCCATCAGAGGGATGCCTTCACACCTGGTCTTCAGGTGTGCTGCCCTTTCTACATCACCCGGTGCCTAAAATGCGCTAGGTCTTAACCCAGTCTCGCTCGGGAAGAGCGACTGGTGATTCATTCGTGTTGCCTTCTTGAGGTTAAACCGAGTCAAACAGGATGGCCTCCCTTTATCCAGGAAAAAGGCTGGTTGCAGGGAAGAGGACTTCAGATACACGAACCAGTGCAGTGACTCTGGTAACAGGTTTTCACGCAGCAGGAGCACCTCAGCGGGAGCGCCACGCTGAGGGCCACGCCGTCTGGTGGGAAGACACTGGGCTCGGGAGCCTGTGTGCAGTCACGGACTGTAAGCTGCGGCCTAAGTAGGGAGGGGAGACGCCCCCGAGTTTGCGGTGATGCCGACTGTGGCCCGCAGGCCCGAGCTCATCGTCCTGTGGAGTCCTGGTCCAGGACGGGCCCCGCTCCGCCTCCGTGTTCATGGCCGCAGCAAGGGGAGGTGCAGCATGGCTCTCAGCTGACCTCTGCTGAGAGGACCAGGCCTGTAGGCATAGAATCTCTGGGGTTAGAAACGTCCTTCTGAGGTCCCGGTGCTGTAAGCACACTCTCCCCGGGACTTGGCCGCTGACAGAACAAAGAAAGCAGCTGTCTCGGCCCTCGGAGAAGAAAACTAGCAGGGTTTAAACCTGGAAGAACTGAGATGGTGGAGATTTTCCTGAGTGCTTTCTGTCTGGCGTCTCCTGGTGTGGACTCCAGGAGTGCCTGTCGGGGGTGCACAGAGGGACCAGGAGGAAAGGGCCCCGTGGGCACAGTGAGGGGCACTGGGGACTCCGGGAAGAGGAAGGGGAAAAGGGGCGGCTCCAGTCCAGAGGGGGTGGGGGTGGGAGGGAGAGATGTTTTCCTTTGGCCCCAAGGAGTGTGCAGTGTCTCAGGGGGGTTCACACCTGAGCCTGTGGGCCAAGGGCCAGGAAAAGGGGTCCCCGGGGCACAGGAGGTGTGGAGCCAGAGAGGCCAAGAGGTGGGCAGAGCAAGGTCCCCTGATGCCGTGTGACGTCCTGGCTCACCCGGAGCTGCACATGCTGGGAACTGACCTGAGGAAGCAGGGCAAAGGCTTACTTGCTGAACTCCCGTAACGATGGCCCCAGACAGCACTGCCAAGCCCAGGAAACAGCCGACGTAGAACCACAGCCCACAGAAGGCAGGTCAGCACGTCCAGTCTGAACCTAGACAGGTGGTTTGCCTGCTTGAAAAAAATAAATCAGCATCCCCTAGAGGATTTTAATAAGACTCAGGCTCACAACGTGCAGGACACAGTCCAGAATTACGCGGTACAGAGAGCCAGGAGAGTCTGATGGGGAAAGAAAATCACCAGGTGTTGACCTGAGCGTGTTGGAACAATCAGAAAGATGTAGCTGTTTTGGTTTTAATTACTATGACCATTCTCCATGAAGTACGGACCAAAAGTTATAGAGGTTAAAAATAACAAGTGAAAAATTCAGTGGATGAACAGAAGAATGTTTGGAAACAAACCTTAGCCTTAGGGACTGTGGGGCAATATAAAAAGATCTAAGTACTCTGGGTTAACGGATTCCAGCGAAAGGAGAAAGATTGATGTTAAAAAATTTTTTTAATAATGCCTGAAAATGTCTCAGGTTTGGGAAAAGATGAATGTAAAGATTCACAAAGCTCAGTGAACCCCAGGTAGGCTGAACTCAAGGAAAAGCCATGTGGAGAAACAGCACCGACTCTGCTGAACCTGAAGTGTTTTGTCTTGAAAGCGGCAAAAGACGGTGACCTGCTGCACAGAGTGACACCAGTGTGAGTGCAGATTTCTCATCAGAAACCGCGGAGGCCATGGGACAAGAAGAGGCGGAAAGGGCTGCAGGTAACTCGATCTAGAATACTGTATCCGCAGAAGACGTCAGGAGTGCGGAGGAAAGAAAGACAGTCTTAGATGAAGGAAAACTGAGACTTCTTAGCCAGGAGAGCTGCTCAGAAGGAAATGCTGAAGGCAGGTCTTCAGGCAAAAGGGAAATAGGAACTCTGGGACTTCAGCGTGAAGGAGGCCCACGGAGCCATGGGCCTCTGAGCAAACGCAGTAAATTAGTTTCTCCTCTTAAATTCTTTAGAATATTCTGAAGCTCCAGTGTAAACTTCTAACATTGTCTTTTAGGGTGTTCAGTGTGTGTAAACGTCACGCACGCTGACAGCCCCGCGGGAGGCAGGACGGCCGGCGGCGGCAAGTGGCGGTGCTGGCACTGTGCGCTGCGACCACCGTGCAACAGCTCATTGCACCGACAGAATAAGCAGCCAAGGGGGATTAGGATGCATTGCTGCACAGACTGTGAAGTAATGCAAAGGAGGCAGGGGACAGGAACCAAAGTGGGCGGGGGGCGAGCAGAAACAGTGGTGCAGGGGGGTCTTACCGATGATTACATTCAGTATAGGTGGTCTGAACACCCCAGTTAAGAGGCTGTCAGGCGGATAACATGGGTGGGGTCAAAGTGAAAGGACAGGAGGCAGGAGACATCGAGCGAACACTCGCAAGAAAGCTGGGGTGGCTCTACTGATG